GTCAGAGGTTTGTATTCAAAGGGTTTCGATGCCGCTTCGAGACCACTGATGTTGTAGTCTATCAAAAAGAATGAACATTCTAAATAATCTCTCTTTTTGCTTCAGGTCTCATGCTCAAGAAAAGAACCACTGAATGCCCACATGAAAACCGTTTTCTAGTAGTACAGGATTAGAACTCAGCGAACTCCCAGTTTGTCATTTCTACTTAACAGAGTGTTAAATTTGATATCATGGATTCATCTGTGCTTATGGGTCTTAATTCATCGCAGTCAAAAATATATTAGTTAAGCCGGAAAATAAGTTCATCACACAGGTAAGTGTTGGAACAAAATGATCTTTTCCAATGTCACTTTGTGTTAGTTTAACGTGTTACGCTCACACCAACTAATGAGAATATGTTAAGTTTGTTGGCAGATATTTGTATTTAGAGAAGCCTACCAGAAACCCAGACAAGGCTAGACCCACTGCAGATAAATACGGTTTAGTGAATGCAAACATATTTTCATATACTGATTAGTCTATATGTGTATGCGAAGGAGATTATAATTACAATGCGTAGAAATCATGACTTGCTTTGATATTTTTAATTTCATTCCTTTCAAACTTATTTTTTCCTGTGATGTACTATACTGTTTTAACAGATCGAAAAATAGGATATTAGGGTATATGAAGCGTACTTGAATGCTATTATAAATTCTATTTTGTATGCTTTTAACTGCACCGTACGATAAATCATTCTTCAGAAAGCGTATTCACGTCAACATATGCAAACTGAAGTACAAGTCTATTATAGAGAAAACTGATATAAAATATATTTTAAATGTACATAATGGTTATAGAGTTTCTATTCTGTTCTTCTGTTAATTTTATTACTTATTAAGTGATCATTTATTAATTTTCGTGTATTCAAGTATTTGTGGGTATACGACAGTTTGATTATTCGTAAACCCTTCAGTCAAGGATTACGCAGTTGCGCATCTGTCTAAAGCTCTTTGCTATTAGGTTAAGGTAGTAATTCTCTGTGTTGGGTTTTCTTTTAGGCGTGCCAAATGCTTATTTAGTGGATTATGGTTTGCTTATGATTATTTTTTGTGGTTCCTCTTCGTTTGAGTTTTCTTTTTGCATTTTGTGTGTTTCATTCCGTACATCAGTGACCTATTCGCAGTTTAAAAAGAGAAAATAGTTTAAAATATAAGTTATGGTAATTTGCAATACACAGAATTACTAACCGAATTCCTACTATGTATGTCGTTTGTATTACACAGTCATCAGTGTTCGACTGTAGCTGTTAATTTGTTTCGAAATCAACGGAGAATGTAGAAGTGGACTGCGGTAGACACACCTCTTGCAAGATGTGGTGTAGTGCTATTCAGAATGATGCCACGAAGCAATGTACAGCAAACCGCAGAAATTTTCTTGAGCATACTGTGAAAGTACTTCTGTACATATTTTTCAGTTTCATGCTGAGAAAATAGTTTGAAGCAAGTAATAAACTAATTTGGATCGCAAGATGATAGAACAAGGTTATTTGGAACAAACAAGTAATTTGGGGGGGGGGGGGTATCTTGGCGCAATAGTGGTACAAGTTGAGTTGAGTGATATTGGAAAAGTCAAAATGTGTCGCTAAAATCCTATACGAAAGGTACAACTAATAACTAACTGCTTTCTGCAAGATTAAATGAAGAAAAGTGGAAGAAACGAAGTCAAGTCAAGATATCGAATATAACAGACTATTGTCTCCGAATATTTTCAGCTTCAAACGTTCATGTAGCAAAACAATGTGTGGTCAAGTTGTGCAACTGAAATTTATGTCTAGAAATGAATCTCTTTCGTCCACCCTATTAACGAAACCATAGTGCTTAGTTTTTAGTATCTTCACAAAGACTTTTTTCTTCACCTGAAGTTATCATTGTGTAATCTTTCATTTAACAAAAACCACACGTTTCAGGGGTAATCTACAGAAGCATTTTTCTTTGTATATGCATTTAAAAAAAATTTGCACGCATTGTTGTTGACAATATCCCGAATAGTAGTTCTGCGTTCTATTTTACGATATTTGGAACATGATCATCAAAAGTAGGTGAAAATATCACATCTTTCTGAAAACAAATGTCTTCTTGACATTTCCTCATATACTAAAGCCACTGAGTAAGTTGTTCTTGGATGAGAAGAATTCTGGATCAAGAAAGTAAGTCGTTTGATGAGTCTGAGCACTAGTCGATTTATCAGACAAACACCTTAATTTAAAACATGTTTTGCCCACAACGAATTACCATTTTCTTCGACGAGCATTTTCTCCTGAAGTAGAATTTAATTTTTGATAAAACCGGTGGTGATAAAACTGAAAAAGTGTGACGACCAATCGAGCCTAATTTTTGGTCTGATTTGTACAAGAGACAACAATCTGCTTTATTGGGTTTCTAGAGAACAACAGTTAGAGACTTAATGGTGGTAAGGAAACATGTACTCTCTGTCGCCTAAACGTTGAACACTGACTAGTCTCAACTCAGTCATTCTCTCTTTCATTACCGTTGAGTTTTTTAGAGACGCATTGGAGGAGTTTATGCAAGAGTTGTTACCCACTATTGGAAATTTCAAAGCGTATTGAAAATACTATTTGCAATAAAGTTATTGCTACTATTAAGCGGAAAACTCGGCAGAGTAGGTTATGGTTTCGATCGCCGCGGGTAGTTTTAGGCTTCACACAATTGTAGTGGCCTAAGTATATTGACTAGGTTTTTATAGCATGTTTTTTCATCTCAAAATAAACTATACGTCAATGGTTTGCCTAATATCACATTGCACTTTATTTACTGAATTCTCGTATTAATATTACTTAGGTCAAAAATATAGCTATGAATCTTCGTGGTGAATTACGAGATTAGTGATCTTACCTCTCTGTGTTGTTTAATTCCTTAAATGGTATGTTGCACGCATCTATAACACTAAGCGAAATAACCAAAGATAAAAATGCCTACCGCATGTGCAGTTACCAATTCAACTATTTCTGTAGAGTAATAGATAAGCTGCAGTCATTTTTATGAAAAGGACTGACTAAAGCGATAAGCAGCTTTATACCAACTCACCTTGTTGATATGGAACATTATGTCAGCATTGTCAGAGCCTCTAAAGTTATTATATTTTATACAACGTTTCCTATACTATACAAGTCCAACTTTTACATACAGTAGAGGCGATGGAAATTCTTCTAAATGGGCTAAATATATTTTTACAACTCGTCTACATAATATGTATGGAATGTTACAACAAACCCTTCATTCTACCAATTGATATTATTGTTGTGCTATTTATTTTATTATTCTTATTGTTACTATTATTTTGTTTAATTCACTAAACCATTTCATATCTAAACGATTCTCTCATCAATTCTTCTGAATTATCGTTATCTTGCAAACTTACAGTTATATAGTAATCTTGTGCTAACGTTGATAAATTGAGTCTATATCATACTAGATGGATGTAAATACTTTGACTAATATCTCGGTTTTTGTAGTTACTGTTTCCCTCTTCCTATCCCTCAAAACTGGTGTTCATTTATTAACTAACAGGTCACCATTTGATTGCTTTAATTCCGATGTATTATTTAAAAAAGTTGTATATTAATGTGAAGCCGTTGAGGAGGGAGTAGTCAAAAAGAAACACATTTCTGTGTTCATTTTGTTGTTTTCCAAACGTCTGAATAGGAATTTCAAGTTTACTTGTGAAAGTCTAAACGTATATCCCTAAGTGTCACAACTATAGTTATTAAGAGCGTAACAGGATTTCTATATGAAACTCGTTAAATTACTAGTGGCAGTAACGAGTAATAAACGAATTTATGTGTGATGTGCATGGTCGCCGAGCGTCCTAACCGCTATGCCACTAAATTCCCTGCCATTTGATGTTATTATGCCGATGAATGTCTCTTTATATACTACTGATCAATCTTATCAGTAACGCATGACACAAAACCACTAAATGCAGTTCAAATACTAAAAAGAATCCAACGAATAGAAACAAACAATCGAGTGACGGTTATGAAAAGAAGTCTGAGCTCTTGTACTTGTGCAGATTTAATGAATCTTAAGGTTGATTAATTCAGCTGGGAGAGTTATTGGAAATCAATGATCCCTGGACAGCTGTTTCATCTTAGTTTGAATTTTATGGAGAGATTTTATCCCAATCTACTATTAGATGGATCCCACTGAAATCTAGTGCGAAGTTACAATTCATAAAACTTACATAAGTGAGTGTAAAGATTAGTACTCATCAATTATATTGAAAGTTAGGAGGGCAATATCGAGAGTCGTTCTTAGTTGGAGGTCAAAAACTGTTGGGTTCCAATCGCTTAGCATAGTGGTATTTTATTCTCCATGTAACCGAATAATCCGAAATTCGGCTTTCTGTAAGGTTGTTTATGTGAAATGCCTCAAACTACAAGGAAAAGGTTGTTTAACGCCTCTTAGATTTTGAGTTTTTTCAGTTGATGTTGGTTGGCGACAAAATTATTAATGCAGTAGAAAGTCAAAAGTCGTTTAACTTCAGCCACCAGAAACAGATTTCACATGCACTAAGCTATGAGGCACTTATTGTGTGAAGACTGAAGACATTATCCAGTTGCCGAGTATGAAGTAGGTGAAACGGAATTCGAACGCGAGATCCATTTGTTGAACGTTGAGTACTTTAGCCAGTGAGCCAAATTCTTACAGAGGTTACAACACAAAATATAAGTGATTCATAAGACGATTATAGGATAAAGTGTGATCTACTGGTATTAAATGGAGGACCAATGAAGATTCCTTACAAATGCGACTCAGTGGATTGTGAGGATAGACACAGAAAATAAACAAGTATGGCCTATTCAGCAAAATTTGTTTCTAAATTGTTAATTTTATTATTAGTAGATCTATTTGGATTGTTTACTGAGTTTGTTCACTCTCATTGTAGATTTGGACCCTAAATAATCTGGCTGAACTGTGCTATTTACTATTCATCAGATCATGGGTCATAGGTATCATCGACGTTTTGCTGGTAGAATATCCTATATCAATCAGTGGGTAAAGTATTCTTTGTGTTTGGCGAATTTTATTTTTTTAGTAAGTATAAGTAAGCGTATTATACGAAATTATTTATTTATTATTCATGTGTTTATTGTTTCATTACTGATTAAACTTGTTTTGTATCTTTAATAATTGGATAGGCAACTCTTTAGACTCATCAGGGAAACGGGTGGGAGGAGACAAATCATAAGTGAGACTATTTCTGAGAAAAATGGCTCCTTAATTAGCTCTCAGGATATACGCCTTGAACGCTGGAAAGAACACTTTGAGGAACAATTTAACTTGCCTACAGCCACACTGAGCCTCCCCGCCATCCAGCACACATCCGAATGGGATATAGACACTGGCCCGCCGTCTGTAAGTGAGGTCATAAAAGCTATCTGTAATTTGAAACGAGGCAAAGCGGCAGGACCCGACGGAATTATTCCGGAGGTGTTTAAATATGGGGGTGACATACTAGTATATAGTTTAACTAAGGTACTAGGTAACGTCTGGGAATCAGAGACGGTTCCATCAGATTGGGGTAAGTCACTTATTATACCAATATTCAAGAAGGGAGACAAGTCCTCATGTGATAATCATAGAGGAATCAGCCTGACGAACACAGTCTCTAAAATCCTAGGCTCAGTAATCATGCACAGACTAAGCCGAACTCGGGAGGAACAAACGAGGGAAAATCAAGCAGGCTTTAGGCCAGGTAGAGGGTGCACAGATCATATTTTCACTCTCCGACAGACAGACAGGATACCTCTGAGTTATCATCAACTGACATTCGTGAGAAGATACAGTATGCTAAAACGGGACAGCTTCGTTAAAATTGATTACAAAAACAAATGTATCAAGCAGCATCACATATCATTGCAGCTGAGTCAGTTAAAAGTGCTTCTATGTTGTACCTCCTTAAGAAGCCACTGACTTTGAGTTATAAAATTTACAGGACTGACTCAGTAAAATAGTATTACCAATATTAATAAATATGACCATGTATTGAATACTTCATTTTCTTGAGGTAAAAATTAACCTATTGTGTTGAATATTTTGGTTTCTCCTTTCAGACTATTGGAGCAGTATTTCTTGTTGTCGGTGTGATTGCATTTGTCGAGTCTGGAGGTATACCATGGAAATCTAACATCGGTGCATTACAGTGGCTTTTCAATTTGACCGTGATATGTATCGGTTTCGGTGTAATAACCTTATTTGTTTCATCAGCTGGTTTTGTGGGCTCCTTACGTGAAAATAGTTGCCTTCTGAAATTTGTAAAGAAGTCTTCATTTTTATGGGTTTATATTTTAGTATTATAGTGTCTTAACAATACTCTTTCTGACAGAAGTTATTTGCTGCGTATTATTCTTTGTGTATCGTGATTCAGCCCTACGTAAACTAGAAGATTTAATAAGAACTACTTTTTTAACTCAGTATCGGGAAATTGGGTTCGAGGATACGACAAATTTTATGGATTTCATTCAAAGAGAGGTAATTCACAACTCATCATAAGTTTATTTTACCATCTTTGTCAAGCTTTTCTCAGTCTAAATTGTTATATTTCACTTATATAAGTTTTGTTTGGTAGTGATGTACTTTTTTTCGAAATTGTGTATTGCCAGCTGCGTTACGTTAGTTTTGCATATTTTGAAATTCTGCTTTTCAAATGTAACACATTTTACGGGAATTTAATTGAACTTTTGTAGTGTGACGATTGTAGATCATTGCTGAAGAATCTTAAGCTAGGACTTCACACCTACTCAATGCTCTCTGGTTTTCACTGGTTCTCTAACTGATATTAGCTGCTAACACCTTCTGTGTTGTGAGGTGCGACATCTACAAGATATTATTAGTGTTATCTAAAGTCGTGGAGATGTGGCTAATCAGCTACACCACTTGACCAGAGTTGGTCTTGTGTTTGAATTTCGTCCCATCTATTTCAGTTTGGACGATTGTGTGGTATAATCAACTGTTATACACAATAATTGTGGTTCATAGCCGCATGGTATATGATCCAAGCAACTTAGATCTGATTAACTTAATTCCAAGCCATTAAGGACGCATCGTATTGATCTATCACTGCATAAAAGGTTTATTAACCATTATGAAAATACGAGTGCAAGAATTTCTGCTTTATACTATTCTGTACTTTGAGTGGGCACTTATTTTATTTACTAAGATGGTTGAAATTTATTATCATTCACATGATGTAAAGTGCTATGAACTTTTCAGTTTTTGAGGTAGAAATGAATAAATACAGTCTTATAAATAGTTATCTATCTATCCATATCTCTGGGTAATTACTTACTCAATATGTATGACGTCTAGTTGTTAAACAGAATCATGTAGTAATTTTGAAATCTTTTGAAAAATTACCAATGAAAAATCAAACGCATCTAGGTATTATAGCGGTTAAAACTTTGAAGATAATAAAAAGTCTAATAGCATTCACTGTACAGAAATACATTATTCTATCTCAAATCGGATGCAGAAGACTAAATTAGCGTCTATCATTGTGTTATGCATTTCCAAATCACTTGTCAATCGTAGAAGAAGAAGAAGAGCGAATTATTCTCAGGGTTTAAATGATTAAAAAACAATATTGTACAGTGAAGGAAAAGCTCTCCGGCTATCGTTCTCTAGAAAGTAGAAACTCTTTAAATTTCTGAAGCGTTTGATGGATTTCGTAGTGCGAATCTCAGTTTCTCTTGCACCACTAACATTTCATGAAATATGGAAAAATGCCTATGACTTTCGTTAATCATTTTTTGTCGAGATTAAATATCTCAAGGTATGCGCCCTATTGTAATGCGTTGTTGCAATCATTGATCTCTACAGATTGAATGATCCATTGATTCTTAGCATCTTGCTATCCGGATGTTTTTCTCTTCCTAGTTTTCCATTGAGAATATTTTCCAGAATTAGAATAACTTTCCTGATATCAAAGTGTTTTTCATCCCATTCAGTTTACAATTACATTTTTTTTTGGGTAATATAGCTCAATTGTTGCGGACCGAAGTCGTACTTAGATTGGACGGCTAATCGTTATTTTTCGTGTAGTAATTCGAATGTAAGTCCAGAGGCTTGTGGAGTTCCCTATTCTTGTTGTCGTCAAATGAACAATATAAACGTAAGTACTTCAAATTGCATATCAGAAACTTTGAAATATTACTGTCCTATTTTATTAAAAATCAACAAATAATCATCTTCCATATATTTTAATTCTTGTAGTTCACAGTCAGCAACTGTTAGGATCATAGTCTAAGTGCGATTTCTCTTTTGATTTCTTGGACTGCTTCCAACACCAGGTAACAGGAGTATATAAAGTGAAATAAATAAATTAGATACTCATGTTAAAAATGAATTTGCATGTTGAATTACCATCAGCTCTACTGTAATATCTAGATAGCCATCTGCTCTCAAGAATTAGTATCTAACATCTCATTTCCTAATGGTAATTTTCACTTCATGATTGAGCGATGTCAATTATTCGTATGAATATGAAATGCGATTGGGTGTACTGCACTGACCATTTCATTTACTTGAGAAATTTGACCAGGTAAAGTGCTCTTCTAATTGATGAAATGTTGTTACATAATCATTGTAGCTTAATTTGCCTGGTCCAAATCGTGTCAGTTGTGACTTAGATAGGATAACTCAACATGCTACATACATGCTTCTCAGCAGTATATTTTCAAGATCTGTGAAGGCTAAATGTAATTTCACCACTATTGATTTCGTAACTCCATTTTCACACGGTGTAATCACCACGTGAGCAATGTGGAGGTAAAGACCTTTCGGTCGACGAATTTATAAACCACCTCCATCTTCAGCGCCGAAGATGTCGTCAAGATGGATAATGAAAGCTTCGCAGTTAAGTCAACCAGCTTAGAGAAATTGATAGAAAGCTAAGAACTACCAAATAAAAACATTGCTGTAACTCATGAAGTTGGGATGTAAATGTTGCGTATCTGAGTGACACGAATCTATTCATACTACCCATTGATCTAAATAGGGATATCAGTTGGCCAATGCTAGACTGTAAAATAAAACAAAAACAAGACAGGGGGTTAGACACTAGCACTTATAGGAAACCGACGCACTCCAATAAGTACACTTAGACTTTAATTCATCCCCTCCAGAATCCGTAAAGATAGGTTTTTTTTAAATGTATATAATCGGGCCATGAGCCTATCTAGTAAGTCAGAAGATCTAAATAATCAAGTCAAACAAATACCACACACATGCAATCAGAATACCTGAGATATGGAAATTGGCAGCAAACAACAAGGAGAAGGTGGAGAGAGAGAGAAAAATATATATAAGACAAATTGTGGAGCCGTGTGACTAAAGTGATATGATTATGAGCAATAATTTGTGCTCGAAACGTCATCCAGTTGTTAATACTGCATCACTGTGTGATATTTAAAATAAACTTAAGTAATATGGAATTAAATTCTACCACAGTGCTCAAGTTCTACACCTACATTATTGAGATATGACGTTTGTTTGTTTCACTTTTTCAACCTACTTCTGTATAATGTACAGATATGGGCTGTGGTAATGTGTACCACTAAGTACTTATGTTGAAAATGCTTACAGACAGATTTCTTTGTATGTTGATTTCAAATCTCATCGTGTTCAGAGTTAGCCGATATGTGTTTTTTCTCTTCTCTATATGAACCAATTCCACATTAGGCTCTACTCATTTCTGAGTATACATAATTGAACATCTTTCTACTCTACAATAAATATATAGAGATCAGTTATCATGACCGGTTAACTCTTTCCCCTTAAAATTTAAGTAAGTATCGTTCTTGAAATGATTTTATTTATTATACCACTCATGATGTCTTCGAGCAGCGAAACAAAGTTAGTCTTAACTATAACTTGACTGTTACGTGGTCATTGGTCATATATCAGATGTAATTCACTTCCTTATACAGATAAATTTATTAGAACTGCCGATTATTATTATTTATGCCATCTAAAGTGTAATTCAGTTTTGCAAAGTTATGCTAATACGCTTGTTTTCATTGTATGCTTGCATAACCTTTATACTTGTGTAAATTGTAAAGCTGGCATGTTCAAAACTAAGATATCATCTGAGCACCTTTGATACAATGTAAAATGTTAAATGGAAATTTACATTATTATTATTATTTTTTGGCCTAACTAAAAAAAGGATAATAAAACAAAGTAAAAGCAAATACAACTTAATTAATTCAGTATTTGTAACATACTTTCAGGTTAATGTGATCAATACTTCATGTGGTTTCGGTGTGCAAAAGTTAACTAGCACAGCAGCTAGTCGTTTGGTATGGACAACTGGTTGTGTACAAGCCCTTGTCAATGTGGTAGAAGTTAATATAGTTCCTTTTGCTTGTGGAGTTAGTGGTGTAGCTGTATTACAAGTAAGTGATGAAATCATTTTGTTGTATATTAGTCTTCAGATAATCTTACTGTATGATTTCCGTAAATAAAAATGCTTGAAGTGCATTATTCATGTAAAATTTGTGCACTTAGATTAACCTTTAACCATTAACTTTTGTGTTCCTGTGTTAATCCACCTAAAGTATGAACAGCACCTAGTTGGTTGGATCAATTCGTGTTGAAATCTTTCAGTTCACTATCATTTACAGTGTATCACAGATTCATGTTAACTTCTCAATGCGTTATGTTGGAAATCTTACTGGCATAAATAGATTAACGGATATATACAGTGTTAACATGTAGAAAAATAATGTAGTTATTTGGTCAGAGGAGCTGATATCAGTTACAGAACCACTGAAAACCTGGGAGTACTGGACAGCTGTTTCGTCCTAGTTTGAAACCCTTCATCAGTACACACCCGCCAGCAGGGTTCGAACCCAGGACCTTCTGGTTACAAGGCGAGCTTGCAGACCATTAAGCCACTGAGACCCAATCCCATGACCAGCCCGTAAATTCCAACTTCTACCAATTCACGACATAGCGCTACCGCTAGCCAATGTCTCCGGCGAGTATTTGTCCTGACACCCAACCTGCTGCACCCTACTGGTCACGACTTCCCACTAGAACCTCACGTAACTACCTACCTGATTAAAGCTAGTCGCTAGTGAGCATCTCAGGATGGAACTAAGACGAAACAGTTGTCCAGTACTCCCAGGTTTTCCAATGGTTCTCTAACCGATGTCAGCTCATGATGAAATCCTGTAACCATTCAGTTGAATCTCTTACAAACCAGTACTTGAAAATATGGTTGTTTATTGATTGAATGAATCAGTTTATCATGTACAGCTCATTTTGGTGTGGTTGTGTTCTCTGGGCTGGATGGTTTGGTTGCGAAGCTTTCATTGCTCTACTGAGCAACATCTTCAGCGCATGCTTCGATGTGAAGTGAGCTTTCAGAATTCTCTATGAGTTTATTAGTCATCTCTTCTAGTAACCCTGAACGTGATTGGTTGTTTTCGTGTGACATTTCACCCCCTAGTTTGCTTGTCTCGGTGCTGGCTGCTTCTTTGGTCTGAATGTCGTTAGTCATTCCTTCTGCTAACCTTGAACGTGATTGGTTGTTTTTGTGTGACTTCTCACTTTCTAGTTCACTTGTTTTGGTGTTGACTGTTTCCTTGACCTGAAGTTTGACTTTGTTTTTGTGTGAATTTCTTCGTATGGATTGGTATATTTTGTCGATCTCTATGTGTCTATTGATTGCTGATTCATTTGAATACCAGGCCTCTAGGAATTCTCTGGCATTTTTACAGTTCCCTTTGTCTAAGATTTGAACATTGTCCCAGTCGAATTGGTGCCCGTGGTTGTCTGCATGTAGTGATATGAGGGAGTGTATGTCGTGTCTTTTGACAGCTAGTTTGTGTTCGTGAATGCGAAGACGAAGAGGGCGTCCACTTTGACCAATGTAATGTTTGTCGCAGTCGTTGCAACTTATCTTGTAGATGACGTTAGTTTTGTCTTCTTTTGCCGTTGAGTCCTTTGGTTTACATAGAACTGAGTGTAGTGACTTTGTTGGTTTATGAGCTACAAATCTTCTCTATTACAGCTCATTTAGAGAGCTCTGGAAAAGTGAAAACTATGTTAGTTAAAACGTTAAAAAACACCAGAAAAGAACTAATGTTGTGCAGTGTAAATATAAACTTATTCAGGTGTCAGTTGAAATGATGATCATTTATCACTTTCATTTGATAAATTCACGTCTAATGATAGTTTAATCATTTCGTCGTTTCACACTGAACTCAAATAGTGTGTCAGTTAACAAGTCCTACCTGACAGTGATTTATGAATATGCTGAATTTTCTGTTTTTGAATAGTGTTGTGTGATTAATTGGGGATTGCAATATTTACAACAATGTTTATTCTAACTGATTAAAAATACCCATTAAATTTTTTCAAAAGGATGGTTACTGAACAAAGAACATCCTTTTCGATAACGCCTACTTCACCAGGTTCTACAGTTGTATATATACATAATAGTGAGTGAATTAGTGTTATTAGCAGCATTAAATTTGTTCAAATAACATCGAGCTAATAATATCAATAGATTACATTTCTATAGCATCAACACAACAATACAGTGAATGAATATCAGAAAAATTAGGAAAAATAATAATACAAGTTCATGAATTTATCATCTCCACTGATTATTATTATTATTGTTCCCTTGGGTTCCTAGTGGAACATAGGGCTTCAACTGCACGCCTCCACTTGCTTCTGTCTTCTGCTGCATTTTTCACTTGTATCCATGTTAATCCACACTGTTTCAGTTCCTCTTCACACGATCTCCTCCATGTCACCCTTGGACGTCCCACTCGCCGCTTCCCTTTCGGGTTCCACTCGAGGGCCTGACGCGCGATGTCACCCAACGGTCTCCTCACCGAGTGTCCAATCCATCTCCACTTTATCCTGCATATTTTTTGAGCGACTGGTTCTTTTTTGTTTGTTCCCGTAGTTTCTTGTTGGTGATTGTTTCCGGCCATCTGATCTTCAGTATAGAACGAAGACAGCTATTGATAAAGGTCTGCAACAGGCTGTTGGAAATATTCTTGGTGACCCGCCAAGTTTCTGATCCGTGTAGCAAAACTGACTTGACGTTTGTATTGAAAATCCGAATTTTGGTGTTGTTGCTGAGTGACGAAGATTTCCAGATTGGTTTCAGGTTGATGAATGTGTTTCTCGCCTTCCCGATTCTCGATTTGACATCCTCGTCCGTTCCTCCAGTAGTTGAGACAATGCTTCCTAAATAAGTGAAGGAAGTAACCTCTTTCAAATCCCTCCCGTTGATGGTGATTGGCGCTGGATGTTGGTGCTGTTGTTGTTGGTTGGTTATTTTCATAACCTCCGTCTTGTCTATGTTCACCTGGAGTCAGTCCTATCTTTGCTGCTTCTTCGACCAGTTTGTCGGTTCTCGCTTGTAAGTCTTCGATTTTGTGTGACATCAAACATAAATCATCCACACGCGAAATCCAGGTCTTCTAGGTTCTTCACGTCGGTCCAGGATATCCCTGTCTTCTCCTTTCCCACTGTCTGACGCATGATCCAGTCCACCACAATTAGGAATATCATTGGTGATAATAAGCACCCTTGTCTGACTCGTGTGTTTACTCCAAACGCCTCGTTGAGTTTTCCGTTGTGGATCACTTGACATGTGCTGTTGTCGTATAGCTGTTGAATAAGGTTGATGAATATTTGGGGTACGCCGTAGTACTTGAGTAGTTTCCAAATTACTTGGCGGTCAACGCTGTCGAAGGCCTTCTCAAAGTCTATGAAGTTCAGGTGGAGGTTTGATTGCCATTTCATGCTTTGTTCGATGATGATGATGATGATGCGTAGAGTTGCAATTTGGTCAGAACATGATTTGCCTTTCCTGAATCCAGCTTGTTCCGGTCAGAGTTCTGTATCCAGTGCGTCCTTTATTCTCTCCAGGATGATGCGACTCAGGATTTTACTTGGCGTCGACAGAAGCATGATTCCTCGCCAGTTCTTGCAGAGTCCTAGGTCGCCCTTCTTTGGTAGTTTCACGAGGTAACCTTTCCTCCAGTCAGTAGGCACCTTTCCCTCCTTCCAGACCTTTTGCAATAATGGAGTCAGCATATCTGCTGTCATCTCTGGGTCCGCTTTCAGTGCTTCAGGGGGTATTCCATCTGGTCCAGCTGCTATCTCCACTGAAGGCCAGGGCAATAGTAATGGCTGGACTTGCTTCTTCCGGACACAGAGCACCGATTGTTTAAGGCGAATCGCGATAGCCTCTGCTGTTTGGAGTATGCCTTACCTGGTTGTTTTTGGCAATTTATTTGGTACCCGGTAGATGATACGGAAGGATTTTCCAATGCTGGCCTCGTGGTTGGTTTGAACCGGGGAGTCTAATATTGAACTGTTGATGGTTTTTACTACACCCTTACTTAGCCACACTGGTAGATGTTCCTGAGCCAGGGCGAAAAACCAAGTTCCTGAAGCAACGGCCAATATAACTCGCTCCACAAGCACGGTTGAATCGGCAGATACAATTAGAAGTGGCTAGTCTAGGTACTTCATCTTTCCATTGAGGAATCACTATCGGTTGTGTAGAAAATATGACTTGTGGTTTACCAGCATTAAAAGTTCTTTGAATAGATTTTCTTAACTTGTTAGTAATTATTTCACTAGGTGTGTCGTCACCCTTGAATTGCAGTCGTATGCATAAAGGCTTCTGTTTTCTTTTTTTGAATATTGTTGTTATAACTAAGTGAGTATTAGAATATTTACAACAGCAATATTTACTGCGTTCACTGTTTGTTAGGTGTATTGTTTTTATCGCTCATTCATTTGAACTGTACATTTTGTACATCTTTTTTTCCTTTACGTTGTCAATGGAACATAGGGCTTCAAGCTAGAGATTCGAAGTTTCAGTAGCATTAGTATTTATTTTCACGAGATGGCGTAGCTAGCCTTATGCCCAACCTTTCCTCTTTAACAGTCTTATTACTCGCTTAACGAAGTAAAGGAGTGCGTCGTCCGGGGATCGAACCCCGAACTACCTGCCTGGTCGGTGAGCATTCTACCGCTGTGCCACCGACGCACCATGTTGTACATTGCGTTTTAGTTTGTTTAAACTGATATTTTTTATGGAGACCTACTTTTGTTTTCCTTCTTTGTTACAGCTTTTGGCAATTTTACTCGCAAAAACACTCCATACACAGATTAGTGATCAACTGCGTTTGATAAATCAGGTTACAGTTCACATATAGAAATGTTTGATTTGCTTTGTTGAGCTATTCACATTATTTGTATATAGAATTATTTTCATTCAGCTTTATTGTCAACATTCACGCTACTGCTGACAAGTGAATTTTCCTTAAACCAGTTCAATTTTTAAGAAAAATGACAACAGTGTAATTTGTGTCCTCAGTGGAATAAAAAGAAAAAATCAGTATTCACTGTTGTTTGTTGTTTTTATTCTCAGTGTCAATGCGGATTTCACTTTTCCACTTGTTGGAATTGTCATATATGATTTGTAAAACAAGAATTGAATAAAATTAATTTTGTGCATCTTTTTAACTGTTTTTTTTTATCAATAGACTGTATATACTGATAAGTGCTTGATTGTCATGATTGTTTGCACAATTCTATGATATTTCAAGTCACTATGTGTGCTTTTCATAATTTAGTATGTTTGTGTTAGGTTATATATTATCAATCGAATTTGTACTCAATGTACATTTAAAAACGGCTTAATGAATAAATCGTATTAGTTATAGAGTAAGTGTGAATATACTCGCTGAGTCTCCTATTGATTTTTTTTATTTCATGCCTATATTCTCTTTAATGAATTTGAATAAAGTAAGAACAACAGTTTTTGTAGAATAAAATGGTACCATCATTTATTTCGTTGGCTTCTCATCAGCTGCTTACAGGCCAAAGTCATTATTTTGTAAATCAACAGAAACAATTTTAACATAATTGCACACAGTTCATTTTTAAGCGAAAATCAAACAATATATGCCTACAATGCTAATGCTAATAATAATAAACACTTTATCCCAAAGAATAATGATCGTACACAATGGAAACTTTCGGCATTACGTAATCAGATCGAGGAGAGGGTGGAAATATCCAGTTACCAGGGCATTGATAGACTGATAACCGCTTCTTTATGAATGCATAAATCCAGTTTCAGGCGCTCGGTGGACATTGCTTCGGCAAACTTGAGGAGAGTTGAACTCTTTTACCTATTGATAATTTTGAACGATCTTACGACGTCCACCTCATGACTCGTGTCAAGTAGATGCCTGGCAATGGCACTGTTTAAATCATTTGTTCCCTGTTCATAAAATTGGAGGTATGCCCTTCTTTCTGTTCTTCCAATGTAACAGCTCCCGCAGATGCATGTAAATTTGTATATATTTCGGCTAGAAATCTCTTAGGAAAAGTAAGCTACATATCTATTACTTTTTGTGAAATATTAGATGGTTCTTTTAACACAAATTGTTAAAGCCTTTAATTGTATTTTGTGTTCTCCTGTCATAATTTATTTAACCGTCTTGAAATTTATGGTTAACATAACATAACCTCTTATTTCACAAAATTTATTCTGGTAGTAGTTGGGAAAAGTTTATAGGATGAGAATTTCTGAGGTTGTGTGTAGAAAAACCACTATAAACTTCAGGCATTTAGATTCATATCCGAACCTGTCAGTATTTAAAAAGCTTCTTTTTTCAAGCATCACTGTCAACTAAATCCTACTGTTTATTGTAGTTATGAAAACTTTGGTTAGGAGTTATCGATAGGATTTTTTGAATAAACTAAGCATCAGCTTCCCAGTCACGTTCTTTATATTGAAATTAAACTCGGTGTCTGATATGAAATACTGTCATATTGAAATATCTTTGAGAAGTTGAGCGGTAGAAAAGCGCAAAGTTTTATGTATTGGCATATAAGTTTGTGAACAGATGTGAGACAGTGATAGAATGCATCTATCACAGCTTGTGTATAACAGTTAGTCTAAGAGACGTAGATTTCGAATAAGTGCTTCACTTATTGACGTCTACATGATGTTGCGGTTTCAACAGCCCTTACGATACGAAAATGGTCAATGCTAGGTGATATTTGAAACTTTGTTTTAAACACCAAATGTTGGTGCCTAAATTAAGTGAAAATTGTTTACCTATAGTTCCTTCTGCTTATTTTCCCTGATCATTATACCGTCTGCTTTTTTAACTGGATATTACCTCAATAAATTTCTCTTTCATTGCATAATTTACATCGTTCATTTTAAAGCCAAGATGCCATTGTTCCAAAGGAAGTTTAGTGTGCCGAAATTTCCTGCTCGAAAAGCATCTAGCATGACAAATTTATCCCATCTTGGTTCAACTACCAGAAGTCAAGAATTCAGTACTGATTTTGGGCCAATCAGAACACGCTTAAGTGGACGTGATCTTGTTTTTCGAAATGGTCAATGGATCATAGGTAAGATGGTTTAGTTTATTGATTATAAATCTATTTTTAAATTGATTTGGTTTTAGTTATTCAGATCAGAACAGATTTCTAGTCCATTGCTAAATAAAGTCGCTTTTTGTGAAGTTTAAAAAACAATGAAATGGCGGTATAAGTATTCTCTACGTCATCAATTACTTTTGACTATAAAAGGAATAGCAGACTGTAATCAAATGAGTATTTTTATATGTTAGGTATCTGTCATAAAAGTAACTATTCTCTTCAGCTCAAAGGTTTGTTCAGTATAACAGCCTAAGGTGCATCACGTGATCTAGTTCCTCAGTAAATTATATTTGATAGAGAAGTCAGACTAGTGTTTCGTCTCACTTACTGCACAAACTTTTTGTAACACGTTTCTCTGCAGATTTTTCCTAATTGTTTTGACATACATTATGACGAAATTCTCTTTGAAACTACACTGCTGACTTGGTTTTTGTCTATCTCGCTATTGTGTTAACGATTATCACACCCAATGAAAGTGTATTTATAGTGGAATCATCCAGTTCATAAGCTATTTTTTTCTACTGACACTTTCACGTCCATCTGTCAGTGAGACATGCATATTTTTATCTTATCATTTTATATATGTCGTCTCTTCTGACATTAGTATTGATTTTGTGTGTAAACAAACTAGACATTTTGCGTGTTATTAGATTGAGCTCTTTCTTTCTTTCTTTACTCTGCCAGTGATGGTTCATTTTAGTAGTTGTCAAGTTCTGTTGCATTTTTATGTTAATTGTATTTAGAAACTCTGTTATTTCCCCTTGGGAAGTTGCCATATTTGAAGGTTATTCTCGTCTCAGTTTGATTATATAATTAGGTATAATATCACTTTGACAATAAACCTTGTTTACTTTGATTGGACAATAGTAACTAGTGTGATGTGCCTAGTCCTTTCTTTGGTGCAGACTAAACTCTATCAGTCAGTCTATTGCCACCAACCATCTAATATCATGAAATCAATGTGCATCGTGTTGGCTATCTACCTAGAGTGGTAGCCACATTTCAAAGCTGACTGATAGCATTCAGTCTGCACTAAAGGAAGGACTAGACACATCACACTAGTTACTAGTGTCCAATCAAAGTACCCAATACAGTCCTACAGGAGGTCGATCGCGAGCCGGAATAACCCAGTAGTAACGTCTCTGACTTCAGCACTAGGTGATGCGGGTTCGAATCTCAGAAAGGATATGAGTTCCTTCGAGGTTGCAGATACGCCTTGCTGACTGGTGAGCGCCAGCTAGCACGAAACCTATGTCAAGCAAGGCTTCCTACCGATTGCCTGCAACCATCTAAACTTTGTTCAGTTTGATTTTGAACTTATGAGATTTATCGTCTATCAATTCGAGTAATTTAACGGTTACTATGTTCAAAGGTAGATCTATTTACATAGGAATTTTAACTCATGGATTTATTGAATTTGGTTGAAGATGAAAAGACGGATAGTCAAGCGCGAAAAAATTGCAGAATCCCTTTATGTATGCTCACAGCATATTTGTTCTATAAACCTATTTGAAACTTCAAAAAGAAAAATTTTGCCACTGATCTTACTAAGTTTTTGAATTCGTACTGTAAAGAACAAAAGACCGATGAGGATGGAAGTTCATGTTTATTAGGACAAACGCTTTGTAGGTACATAAATTTGATATACTAGCTCCAATGCTTTATTTGCACATCATATTCAAATTGGGCGAATGTCACCACATTCGATAGTGGTTTGGATTCTGCATGGTGTTTCTAACTTTCTTCTTACAGTTCTGTTCTTCGGTTGCTTTTTCCACTGTTCGAAACATATTGTTACTTTTTTGAATTCGTTTACCGATATACCACTTATATCTGATTATAAGTAGCACTCACCACAATAGGCCCTTCGTAAAGTTATTTAGTCACCTCATTGCATTACTTAAATCGTACTGGGACAGATTATCGAGATGTATTTTGACGGTTAACCGTATCCTGTTATTTTATCGGATTGTTCAAATATGTGAAGATCGCTATCTAAATTCGTGTTCATTTTAAACTGTTTCTGACTAGCCTGGCAGCATGATGATCATAACCGTAGGCAATTTTAGCAATTGTTCTGTATAAATTGCAGTGATTGGATCTTGAAAGCGTTTTTTGTGAATCACAACAAGGAATCACCAAGAATTCTTTGGCACAGTAGTGAACTAAGATGCATATACAGCTGATCCAATCTACAGACTATGTAACCATCAAACTCATTAATCTTATGTTTATCATGAAAATATGCTATAAGTAGTTAGATGGTTAAACACAAGTTTCATTTTGTTGCCTCTGAACTGCTGTATTGTTTCTTGCGCCTCTGCGGTATACTGCTTATAATAATAATAATAATATCTATACTCTCGACAGTAATAATAAAATGTACAGAATTTTCAGAGGAGCTTATTATTATTATTATTGTTCCCTTGGGTTCCTAGTGGTACATAGGGCTTCAACTGCACGCCTCCACTTGCTTCTGCTGTACTTTTCACCTGCATCCATGTTAGTCCAAACTGTTTCAGGCCCTCTTCACACGATCTCCTCCATGTCACCCTTGGACGTCCTACTCGCCGCTTCCCTTTCGGGTTCCACTCGAGGGCCTGACGCGCGATGTCACCCAACGGTCTCCTCACCGAGTGTCCAATCCATCTCCACTTTATCCTGCATATTTTTTGAGCGACTGGTTCTTTTTTGTTTGTTCCCGTAGTTTCTTGTTGGTGATTGTTTCCGGCCATCTGATCTTCAGTATAGA